AAGGCTTTAGTATGTATTTCAGACTTTTCTATATTTCATTATAAATACAGACATGAATAAATAGGGACTTTGTATTACAATATTAGGATCATGCTATATGTGCTTTTCAGTAACTAGTTTTCCCTCAGCAAATAATAGATCATGCATATCTTTCTGCATCAGTAAATATGAATCTAGTCCATCATTTTTTTAATGGCTCCATGGTATGGCTCTACCACACTTTCTTTAAGCATTTCCTCTTGTTGGATGTGTAGGCAGTTTCAAGTTTTTTGCTGCTATATTCAATGCTGGGTTCCATGGAAATTCCATGAAACCTCTAAATGCATGTGGCCCAGAATGGGGCAGCCACATGGCGCTGTTGGCCTCTTTCACCAGGAGCGTGACTGTGCTGCTTTTATTGGTCCCTGGGTGTGGTTTAAGCCCTTTACTCTCAGCCAGGGTGGAGGCTTAGAGCTCTAATTCTTAAAGTCTACAGAAGTGAGGATGGGGAAAAAACGTGTTTTATAACATCCCCTTGGCGAATGTAACAGTTAATGTTTCAGGAAAGAGGCCTCCCTGAGCTACTGGATGCTTCCTCGTGAGGTCCAGAGGGTTTGATGGCCGTGATAGTGGCAACAGGAATAGTGACATAGCAACAGCAGCAACATTCTATGTGCCAAAGAAATTGCAAACACATTACCCGCACATCTGGCCTCATTCATGGCATATTCTGGGAAATTTATTGTTACTATTCTTATTCAATTTTTATTTTTATTTTGTGCTCTCAAGCTTTGAAGAAGCAAAACCTTTCTGTTCTCTAGGCTGGGTTCTGTTTTCCTTTTTATGAAATCCCCTAGACATCCTGTTTTATGTAAGATTAATCAGCCCACTTGACAACTCAGTTTTAGTATCTTTAGAACTAGAGAATATTAGAGCTGGCAGGGCCTTAAGAATCGTCTAACAACCCAGTGATCTTTGTTTGTTAACTTCGATTTACACATGCAATACCTGAAGACGTTGTCATAGTAAAAACAAATGCGAACAGTGTAGATAACACTGAAGTCTCCTGGATCATCTTCTGTTCTCTTCCCAGAGCTGACCATTATAGCAGTTTGGTGTAAATCACTTTTCAGACCTTTTTTATGCATTTGTATATAAATATACGTTTATGCATGTATCTGCAGACACACACATCCTTAGAAATGCATCATAGTGATTTGTGGGTTTCCTCGACCAGTAAATGGTGTCATACTGCTTGTATTATTCGGCAACGTGCTTTCTTTTCCTGAACAGTAAGTCTTAGAGATTGCCCATGTCAGTGCCTTGATCTTGTTAACGGCTGTGTAGGAGTATACCAAGTGCATGTAATCAGACCCCTGTGGACAGGCAGGTGGTTTCAGTGCTCGACTGTTGTATAGTATTATAAGACTGACCATCTTTGGGCCGGCTCACCTGGGCACGCCTAGGCAATTGATCAGACCTGGGCCACGAATAGTGAAGGAGCGGATTCATAGCCACTGCCAGATGGCTCTCAGAGGTGACAGTCCCTGCCTCCACTCCCCTCTCAGTGTCTGAGGGTATCCACTGCCTAGGCCTCCATAAACGCCCCTTGTCCTAACCTGATGGGTAAACTAGTTCACCAGGGAGTTTCAGCTCGGGCAGAGCTTGTTCACCTGTAGTGACCACTGTGACCTGAGTGAGCCACTATTTCTGGAGGGAGCGTGTCTGCCCCAGGAGTGGGGACCGGAAAAAAGCTGACTACTAGTAGTCAAAACATTTTTCGTTGTCATTGGTAAATGAGGAAAGAGAGGTTCCCACAGTTCGTCAGTGGTGGGCAGGAACCAGAGTTGAGGGAACTGAAAGCTTAGTACAGGACTCCTTCTGTTGTGATTGAAAAAAAAAGTCATTTGAGTTAAACCCACCTGTTGCCAATAAGATACGGCATGATTCTTTTTTTGGTTTGGAAAAAGAGGTAATTTTGACCCTGTGGAATAACATGCCCTCTAATTCTGAAATACTTTTTTCCTTGACTGTTTTTTTTGGTTGATTCCACAGCAACCAGCCAGGAGGTAATTTCTTTTGACAATCCTCATGGAATGGGGGCCCTGGTCTTCGGTGGCTTAGGGAGTGTTTGAGTCACCAGTTGAGAGAGGTGCAGTTGGACAGCCTGGTGTCCCAGGCAGAGAAGAGGGCACCTGCACACACACGCTCAGAAGGGTGGGCTGCTGACTGCTCAGAACACCACAGGCTCCTTGACAGGTGGGGGTGAGAGGGCCGTCCCTGCCATTCACAGCAGCTGGAATACGAGAGGGAACTGTGGTGCTTTTTTAAAGTACCGAAATTCAGAAAATGTTTTAGTTGTAAACGTGTCTGCCTTGAGGTTATTTGTAATGGAAAAATCAGTGACAAGCTCAAAGTGTAACAGTGGAGAACCGTATGAGAATGGTTAAGGCAGTAATGATGAACCCATACAGTGGATTATTATACAGCTGTTACAACTAACTTCCAAATTCATGATGTCATGTTTGTGTGAAAAAAAGTGATTTATTTGCTATTTCTTGGAGTGTAACTTAAGAGAAAGTTTTTGAAGGAGGACTCCAAACTTATAAATTTTAAATGTGATCCAGCAATTACACTTCCAAGAAATATGTCCTACTGAGATCTTGCACAAGTGTGCAAAGATTTAGATAGGAGGATGTTCACGTCGGCACTGTCTGTACTAGGAATTATTGGAGAGAATCCAAATATCCATCAACTGAGCTTAGAGAAAGACCTTAAGATATGTTTGTACAATTACATAGTTTCACAGTCGTGGGAGGGAAATGAGATGACCCAGCCTGTCTGTACGTATGACTTGGAAAGACTGAGTCCAAGATCCTGTATTAAGTGGAGAAAAGTAAGATGCAGAACAGAATGTGTGGCCCGTCCCATTGCTCTTAAATTCATGTATGTGTTAACAAATGCATAGCAGAAAAGTTGCAGAATATCTACATCAGCTGTGATTTTCAGAGGATTGGGGGTTGGGGGTTAGAAAGGACTTCTGCTTTCTAGTTCAGAATTGCGTAGTGCTTGCAGTTTTTTTCTATAAGCAGATCATACATTTAGAATCAGGAAAATAGTCAAGATCACTAAATAAAGTCCCAAGTCTCATTGACCCACTCTCGTGAAAGGCCGTAAATTATGTTTACGCTGTGATCCCAGTCTTATAAAAAAATGAGTGTAAAAGATCTGGAAAAGAACTAGTCCAAAGCATTGATGATGGTTGCTCTAGGTGGATGGCATGTGGCACATTTGAATTTTCTTGGTCTTCTGTATTTTCCAAGTGTTTTTATTAAGCATGAATTAGCTTCTGTTTTGGAGGAAAAAAATTATGGGCTTTATCTTTGGATTTTGCAGAGATTAGGAAGGCCCAGCGAGGGAGTCCTTGACCTTCTGTGTTTCTGTGTGTGTTTTTCTCGAAAGGCTCAGCTCCTCTGCCTTGTCTTCTCTGAGCAGGGTCCCAGTGATGGGGCTCAGGTGGGGCCAGGGCCCTTGGGATGCTGTCCTGTCTGGGCCCGAATCCGTGGGGAGCTGGGCTCCTGCAGAGGCTGGTGCAGGTGGCTGAGGGATACCGTCATGGGTGAGGAGGTCTGGAATTGCTGTCCCTCGAGTCTGTCTTGTCTCAGAGTGCTGTGGGCCTGCCCTGCTCAGGCAGCGTCTAGCCCACCATCCCGTCCCCTCCCCATGGCTCAGGCCTCTGGCCTGGCAGGAAGTTTTCGTCTCACTGATTCTGCAGAGGCTGCAGGGCAAAGGGTCAGTTTCTTCAGGAAGAGAGTGAAAGGGATTGCTACCTAGTGTGGGTGTCAGGGTGTTTGTTGGGAGGGGACAAGGAAGAATTCCACCTTGGGATTATAAAAGCAATAAAGTAAGCCTTTTAAAACAAAAAATGGAGTTGTACCATAATACCGTTGAGGAGCATGCTCTCTTCTCTTCATAATATGTCTTGGACATCTTTCCCAGTAAGTGCCCAGAAAGCTCTGGTTCTCAAAAGGTTTCAAAGTTTGGGGGCATTGATGCTGAAACCCTGAAACAGGCAGGCAGTTCTGCACAATGAATTGTCCTGCATCCCCAGGACCTTGGAACGTCTCGTGGGAATCTGTTCATGATGAACTGAGCCCAGAGCTTAGCACTGTGTTAATGTAAAGGCAACATCTTTTTGCGTAGTTCGATGTACTCTGAGTTTAGGAAGCTTATGTGGTCTAGGATTTTCATTTAGGGCAGGAAAATGGGTGTATTTATGATTTATATAGTATTTATAAAAGGTGCTGTTAGGCCTGATAGGGTCCATAATTCTCACCGTGGAATCAGTGCAGCTTTTTGGAAGGGCTATTAGCATTTTAAGTGGATATAATTAAAATGTATTAACCAGGCTCCACAGGCAGACATGTGGGTTGAATCCAGTTTTGCACAATCACAATTATGCCTCATATTTTTGCACACTTGTGTTTGTGTTTCTATAGGATACATCACTAGATGTAGAATGGCTGGGTCAGAATAAAGGAATGCATTTTTTTTCATTTTAGTGCATTGCCAGATTGCCTTTAGAAGAGGTTTATACCCATTGACTGTATGTGAGCACATCGGTTTCCCCGCATCCTGGACAGCACTTCCTGTTAGCAGTTGTTAAAATGTTTGCCAGTCTGAACAAGGTGGGATGGGGGAATGATAGCTTATTTTCATTCTCAACTTTTTAAATACAAGCAAAGTGGTGTGTGTTTTCCTATGCATGTTATGTTTCTTATTTGGTCTCGTAGTTAAGACACGTCACTTCTGCCCATGGGAATGCTGTGCCCAAGTGAGACCAAATAGGGTCTTTTGGGAACTTTGCTCCTGAAAGGATAATAGATGGGAGTATTTCTCTTGCCCTGACGCTGTCTGCCTTTCCAGGGCTTGGGGACCCCTGGGAAATCACAGGGTGGGAGGAGGCTGGGCTGCACTGTTTCCAAAGCTGTTGGTCTCACACTCTCCTCTGCGTTCTGCAGGAAGCCTGGAAGCACGCAATCGAGAAGGCCAAGCACATGCCTGACCCCTGGGCTGAGTTCCACCTGGAGGACATTGCCACGGAATGTGCCACGCGTCACAGGTCAGCAGCTTGTCTAGGGGTACTCTATCGCCCCAGGCCTCAATGTGCCACGCGTCACAGGTCAGCAGCTTGTCTAGGGGTACTCTATCGCCCCAGGCCTCAAGCAGTCCTTGAGGGTGTGAGTCCTGCTTCTCTTCACAATCAGTGAGGCCTAAGTACCCCTGGAGGTCAAGGAGAAGGGAATAATAATCATATCAGCCAATATGTGAGTGCTTATGCATGCTTAAGGCATTATCTCATTTAAACCTTAGAGTGGTCCTATAAGGTGGTATTGGACAGGCGAGGCTGAGCTATGCTGCAGTAACAAATACCCAGGGGCCTAAGGCAACAAAGATCTATTTCTTACTTATATAAAGTTGGGGGAGAGTTGAGCACCTCTTCAGGGCAGCTCAGGGATCCAGGCTGCTTCCATCTTGCAGTTCCATCATGTCAACATGTGACCCCCACAGTTGCTACCAAAGGGGAAGAGAGAGCATGGAGGCAGCACACCAGGTTTTCAATGCCTTGGCCCCAGGAGGATTCACAAAATGGAACTGGGAGCGTCTAGAGTCCCTACTGGAAGAGGCAGAGGGACAGAAGAGTGTTTTCAGGGGGTTTCAGGAAGAAGTAGCAACAAAAACCACAAAACACCACCACTAATAAAATAATATGGATGACAATGATGATGGTGGCCCTTATTAATTGAATCTTCCATGTGCCAGGCACTGTTTTAAACACTCTGTGTATATTTACTCATTTAAAAAAGCCTGAAGTAGGAATTGTTTCAAGCATTTGAGACCCCTTTCAGAATCTGATGAGGGCCAGCTCAGAAAATTGCACACGTATGTATAATTTGCTTATAATTTTAGAGAACTCATGGACTTGCCCTGGAGCCTGCCCTCTGTCCTGTGACCTCTGTAGATGCTACCAGCTCTGAGTCATCCAGACCAACCCTCTCAGTTCCCTTCATTGCTCCAGGGGAGAGAGAAGTTTGCCTAGGGTCAGCCATGTAGTTAATAAGCTAACCTTCTGACTTTCAATACAGTGTCTTTGAATTAGTCAGAACTCTGTTTCAAATGCAAGTGACAGAAATGCAACTCACAGTGGCTTAAGCATAGAAGGGAATATTTGGCTCATATAGGGAGGCTTCAGGCATGGCTGGTTCCAGATGCTCCAAGGAGGCTTTTCGCTTTGACCTCAGATAGACTCTCTTATATCAGTGGTACAGATGACCCTCGGGAGCCCCACATTTCATCTCACCCAATGGAAAGGATTTTTTCTCTCTCAATTTTTTTTAAATAAAAGTTCCATATGTGAATCTCATTGGCCTGGCTTTAGTTATATGCCCATGTCCGAACCAGTCATTGTTTCAGGGAGCTTTGTTCTGATTGGCCAGGACTAGACCACATACTACAAGACAGAAGGTGCTAGGGGATCAGCTCCACCCAGACCACATATTCTGAGAATGGAGGATGGTGGTTCCCCAAAGGAAAATTGGGGTGGGGGTGCTGTTACTAGAAGAAGGGGGAGCTGATGCTAGGCAGGCAGAAACCGTGGAGGCTTCTCCACCTTTCTGCAATGTATTCCTGCTCCCACTCTGTGAGAAGATGGCTTAGAGCCTGGCAGGCACCCCCTCCCTACCCCTGGAGGCCCACCTCCTAGTAGGCTCTGGGGTCTGTGCTGGCAGCCAAGGTCAGCATTCTTGGGGGCCCCAGCAGGGCAAGGTACGAACTCTGTTTCTTCCTGCCTTTATAAGGGCAGCGTGGTGGCTGGTTGGTGACACATGGCCTTCAGGCTGAGGACACAAGCAACACAGGGAAGCCCCTGGAAAGGCAGGATCCACAGGCTGGGCTGGCCCTGTGTGTCTTGGAGTCCGCGGGGACTGGGAACCAGGAACCAGGCCAAACTGTGTTTATTTCCTAACCAAAGCGGCTGACTTCATCTGCCCTGGCTGCCACCAGAGGGATGTCAGGCATTGATGGCCAGAACCCCCAGAGATTTCTAAATTGGAGGCTCCCTCCTCCATCCCTGGTTTTTAAAGAGCTCTGGGGCAAGACAGCCATTAATGGGGCACATTTCCTGTTCACATGGGTTGTCCCCAGGCTGGTTAAGAGCCGGGTTCTGGTTGAAACTGACCCGGGTTTGAATCTTGTCTCTCAGGCTGATTACTTCACCTGTCTGAGCCTCAGTTTTCATGTCTGGAACGTGGGCGCAATAATTGTACCGATCTCAGGGCTGCTGTGAAGGTTGATTGAAGAGCTCTGTTTAGGCACCCACCGTATGGTGAATGCTCACTGAGCTTTGAGCAACTCTGACCTGTGTGATGTCGGTGGTTATGAAGAACGATTAAGATCACGCTGATGTCGCCTAACTCCTCCCTGGCCTGACTTCTGGGCGCCTCTCAGTTTTCAATCTCTTGCAGGTGGGGGAGGACTGCTTCCTTTGCCTTGATCTCTAAGTAGTAATAATAATCATCACTGCTGTTATTTACTGAGCACAATGCTTGCCGTGGGCTGTTTGCCATCGAGCTGCAGCTCTGAGGAACTTTCCTTGCTCTGGGCCTGGGGGCGGTTACCTGCCAGGCCTCTGCTTGTTGTTCTTCATGGAGGTTTCAGACTCCGAGAAGCCTGTTCTCATGAACTGGGAGTGTTCTGGCCCCCGCCCCCTCGCTGAAGGGTGGGCCAGGGCAGCACCTGCTAGAGCTAACAACACCTCAGCCCCAGGGGACATGTTAGACTTTAGGGATTTACTGAGCTGAAGAGCTTTCTACCAGGCAAACCTGTCTGAGGCCCAGGCAGGCCTAGGGGCAGATCGGCTCTGGGAGGGAGAACTCCCGGGAAAGGAGACATGGAAACGTTCTGGAGCCCTCTCCATCCCTCTCTGCCTTGGGTGTGCATCCAGCAGCCCCTTTCCTGGATGGACTGAGAGGCAAGACCCTCCCCCACCCCTGCCTGCACCCAGATGGTCTGCAGGAGATGCACCCAGCTGCCTGGGCTGGGCCTCGCACAGGTGCCTGGCAAGGTTGAGGCTGCCATCTCCCCTCCTGGGACCTGCCATTTGTTATGTAGACCAGTTATAATAAGCATATTTATTTGTTCAGTCGTTTATCCAACATGCATTTATTAAGCATCCACACACACCAAGCCCTGCAGTGAACAAGACAGACACGGGCCTGCCTTGTGGAGTTACTGTTCAGTGGAGAGCCAGACAGAGACCAAGCCTGCCCACAGCACAGCACTCAGTGCCCCGGGGACACAGTGGAGAGGGAACACCTGCGTTTGAGGAAAGGGAAGGAGGCCAATGTGGTGGGGGTCTGGGAGGGAGGGAGAGTCTGCAGTCCCAACCCAGGAGGTTGGCTGCCTGCAGGTAGAGAATAGGCTTGATCCCTAGGGCAGTGGGGAGCCCAGAAAGGTCTTTCACCTTTAGCCAGTGAGTGAGAAGATCAGGTTATGGACGCCTTGGGTGGGTTCTGGTCTCTGCAGGTACAACGCTGTTACTGGGGAGTGGCTGGAAGATGAAGTTCTGATCAAGATGGCGTCTCAGGTGAGCAGAGCCTCCAGCCCAGTGGGGACAGCGCTGAGTGGGGATTTTTCTCAAGCCCACTTGGGTTCTTGCTCCCTCCCTTCCACACCCTCTTTATTTTTTTAACTTTGGGGGATTCTTTATATTATTGGATATTTATTTTATTTTTTGTAATAGCTTTATTGAGAGATAATTCACACACCATACACCATACCCACTTAAAGTATACAGTGCACTGGTTTTTAGTGGATTCACAGAGATGTGCGACCATCACCACAATCAATTCCAGAGCAATTTTACCATTTCAAAAGAAACCCTGTATGTACCCATTAGCAGTCAGTCCCCAATTTCCCCATCTGCCTCCAGCTCTGGGAAACCACTACTCTACCTTCCGTCTCTATAGACTTACCTGTTCTGGATGTTTCATATGTTAATCATATATCTTATCTCAAAAAAAGATTCTTCTTGGCCCTGTAGGAGAAGAAGAAATTTTCCTCTACCCTTCCAGGTTCTTCTAGCTCATCTAAGAATTAAATTGACATGAGACGGCATAATAGGAGGAAATCAAACAAAGGTTAATAAGATGTATACATGGGAGAAACCCAGGAAAACTGAGTAACACTGAGATGGTTAAAGCCACCACCTTAAATACCATCTTCAGCTAAAGACGAAGGAAGATTTTGGGGATAGTGGTTTGGGACTTCGAAGGGGAGGAAGGCAGTTCACATAGAGATGGAAAAGCAAATGTTTGGTAAACAAATGTTTGTCATGCCTGGCAGAGACATGGAGAGAACTTTGATCGAGTTGGCCTTGCTAGGTTCCTCTCTGTCTACCACACTTAGATCATATCACACTATAGTTCTCTATGGTGATAGCTCCTTCCGGTAACAGGCCTTCTATCTTAAATTCTTTTAGTCAGTTAGGGGAAGTTCAGAGTTTCTTCCTGAGTCTTTTGTTCTTGAAAATAATCAAGCCAAATAGACACATTTTGAGGTAGCAAATTCTGCTTCCCTACAGTACTCTTCTCAAAAATCAGTTCACCAAAAAAAAATCAGTTGACCGTAAATGTGTCTATCCATTTTCAAAAATGGCAGAGCACCACCTATTACTGAGTTGTTAAATGAATTCAGTGGCTTATAGTCAGCCTTTTTGAAAAAAAAGAAGTAGACTAGGAAATAGAGAACTTCCTTCTTGTATAGTAAGGGTAAGGATTGTTTTGTGAAACATTTTTTAGTGTATCACGCACTCAGAAAAGTGTACAATTGATGAGTTTCACAAAGTGAACACACTGTGTAACCAGCACCCAGATCAAGACATACAACATCCCCAGCACCCTCAGAAGTCTGCTCAGCCCCAGTCACTACTCCTCTACCCCGAAGGGTAAGCAGCGCCCTGAATTCTGTCGCCCTAGATTCGTTTTGCCTATTTTTGTACTCCATACAAACGGAGCCACACAGTATGTATTCTTTTGAATGTGGCTTCCTTTGCTCAACATTTTGTCCATGAGGTTTGTACAAGTTTTTGCTAGAACTAATTTGTTCATTCTCGTTACTGTATAGTATTTCACCCAATGAATAGACCTAATTGATTTATCCATTATACTGTTGATGGACATTTAGGTTGTCTTTTTTTTTTTTTTTCCTGTTACAGACAGGGCTGCAAAAACTTCCTTTGATATGTGCTGTCCCCCTGCCCCTGCACCCCCATGACATCTGGCCCTAGGAGTTCTTCCACTCAGCTCAGGTTGGAGAATGGGCTGGTCTCATCAATTGTGCAGCCCCCAGGCTGACAGTTCTATCAGGCTTTGGTGCTGGGGTATAGGAGTGAGGGCCTAGGGATTTTAGGATTGAGATGAGGTCTAGGGCACCCATTTGGTGGCTGATGTCCAAGGGGAAAGTCTCCTGACTCAGGGCTGCGTCTGGGTGGGGCGTGGGGACTGATAACCCTGTGTGTGGTGTCTTTCAGCCCTTTGGCCGTGGAGCGATGAGGGAGTGCTTCAGGACGTAAGTGACTCAGCCTGGCTCTCGGGGCCCTGCCCAGACTTCCTCAGACTCCTGAGAGCCGGGGCGTTGTGACATTTCTGGCCAAGAAATGGAGACAGTGGCCTCTGCTGCTTGTAGCCTAAGCTCCTCTCCATCTGGTCTCCCTTGGACCACAGGGTTAGGCCTGGCTGTGGGGATGGGCTCCAGGAGAACAGGGAGTATCCTGCTAATCTCTCCTCTGGGGTTTGGGGGCCAAGGGATGTGGGAGAGGAAACCTTTAACAATGTCCCTTAGGCCTCTTCGCAGGGAGCTTGGGAAGCCCCTCCCCGCTCCCGAATTTTGTTCCTGGCTCCAGCCACCCAGGTCAGGCAGGGTCTCCCTCACTTGAACACCCACAGCTGGGTCCCTGGTGGACCCGAGTGCCCAGATGGGCCCCTTGCTGCCTCTTCCCCAGGAAGAAGCTCTCCAACTTCCTGCACACCCAGCAGTGGAAGGGTGCCTCCAACTACGTGGCAAAGCGCTACATTGAGTCGGTGGACAGGGACGTGTACTTTGAGGATGTGTGTCTACAGATGGAGGCCAAGCTCTGGGGAGAGGAGTATAATCGGCACAAGCCCCCCAAGCAGGTGTGTGGTACCCCTGCCTGCCGCCTCCGCACCCCAGGGCAGCTGGGGACAGTGTCTGGAGATGAGGGTGATGGTGTTGCCGGTCGCAGGTTCTCTTCTGCACCGTCTTAACAGTAGCTAATAACAACCGTCATTTATTGAGTGTGACGGGCCAAGGACTCTACATGCAGAGTCGTTTATTCCTAAAAACAGCTCTGAGATTGTTTGAAGTTGGAATGTTTTTATCTCATTTACAGATTGGGTCTGTCAGTCAGGAGTTTTGTTGGCAAATGACAGAAACCCACTCACATGGGCTTAATCCAAAAAGGGAATGTATTGCCTCATGTAACTGAGAAACAGTGCTGGCCACAGGCATGGCTGGATTCAGGACCAAACTGAGGTTATTGGGAATCTTCCTCCATCTCTAGCCTTGGTGTGTGTTCTGTGTTGGCATCACTCTCAGGCAGCTTCTCGACTTGCAGTGGCATGTTGGCCACCAGCAGCTGCAATCTTGCTTTCTGTCTTCTCAGCAGCCTTGTGGAATGACAGCACCTATTTTCCCAGGAGTTCCAATAAAAGTCTCAGAACTGGGTTTCCTTGGCTCTGAATAGGTCAGATACCTGTTGCTGAGCCAATCACAATGGCCGAGGGAGGGGATATGCAGATTGGGTAGGTCTGAGCCATGTGCTCACCCTTAGAGCTAGGAATGTGGGTCCTTCTACCCAGACTACGTGGACTGAGTTTGGTGGCTCCCGAGAAAAAACAGAAGGAGGAAGGAGGAATGGATGCCATATCTGGCCCTGGGGAACCAGGGCTTAAAGGGATTAAGTGACCTGCCCAAACGGGCCAGGATTTAGGGAGCCAGGGCTCAAATCCAGGCTTTCCAAGCCCCTGCCCAGTGGGCTTCTTCATTTGAACCCCCAGGATGTCGAGCGATTCAAGACCAAGGAGAACTTCCTGTTGCCTGCAGGCACTTGAGGAAGCGGGGCTCCTTGGGGAAGCAGGTCTCCACGCCTCTGCCCTGCCTGAATTCACAGCTCAGCTCTCCCATTGTTTGAGCATCTGTTAGATACAAGGCACTATCTCCTGGCTGCCTCAGGAGAGCCACACTTCAAGCAGCCAGGAGAATTTATTGAGTGCCTGCTGTTCGCAGGGTCCTTGATTAAGCGCACTTGGAATGAACACAAGAAGCCACAGTCCACACTCTTGGGGGCTGTGACCTCCTCCGTAATTCACTACACTCCGTCCTGGCCTCCTTTCCCTTCCTCCCTAAGTTTGTTCCTGCCTCAGGACCTTTGCCCTGGCTGTGCCCCAAACCGCATCCCTCATGTTCCCCTATCCTTGCATGTTGATCTCCTTCTCATAGTTCAGGTCTCAGCTCATATGTCACCTACTCAGGGAGACCGCCCCACCCAGACTGCGTGCATGAATGAAGTAGCCCTTGCACCGCTGTCGCCCTCTGTCCCCTTGTTCTGTTTGTTCTGGTGTCTTTTTCTCAGAGCAATTAGCTCTCTCTGAAAGAGTCCTGTTCACATAGTTAATATTTTAGTTGCCTCTCTCCCCCGAGGGCAGGGTTTTATCTGTCTGGTACACTTTGTATCCCAGCACCTAGGTGCTCAGGTAATAGTGATTGGTTGAATTGCTGAAGGGACAGGAGTGTGGTTGTTTGAGGAGGAACTGGCTGTCCCCTCGAGGCTGGGTCCCTGACCCTTCCCCTCCCCCAGTGAACTCTCTGGCCCTGCAGGCTTCCTTGTAGAGATGGAGCCAGCATTTGGGGTGGCGACCCTCTGGGAACCGGCTGCTCCTTCCCGTCAGGCTGGTTCTCGGAACTGAGGCGGCATTTGGGGAGGTTCCCAGCTCTCAGCTCTGGGCCCCTTGCCGCCTTTGCCGCTGTTGTCCGCCTGTCTAGTGACTCAACAGGCAGTTCCCCAGATGGTCATTTCTTTGGGAAACCCAGACCTGGCTCCTTCTGTCCTGGGTAGCACTGAGGGGGCTGGGGTGCCGTGGGCGAATCCTGGTGTAACAGATCACAAATTAGAATCACAGGTCTTCCCTACCCCACTTCACAACCATATGCCATACTTGTACATTTTCTTCTGTGTGCAAAATTAAACCTACTTGGTAAGACATTCAGCAGGGAATGTCTGAGTTCCCCAGAATTCCCCATTGTAGGGAGAGAACCACTGTTTACAGTTGGGAATGTATTACTCTAGAATTGTCCCTACTGATGGTAATGATGTCAGCAAATGTTGACAGACCTTCTGTGCATCAACGGATTTTAGCCTCGTCCTAAGTCTGAGATTCCCATTCCACAGGTGAGGAAACTGAGGCAAATTGATGAAATAACTTGCCCAGATTCAGAGTATTAGTGTAAGGCACAGGCTAAGTTGCTCAGCAGACAGACCCACAAATGTGTGTTAACACAAAATGATTTCTTTCTCTCTCATCTAACACTCCTGTTTTGGTGGGGGGCTCGGGGTGGGCTGGTGCCTCACCTCTTTAAGTCATGCAGAGGCCTGGTTCCTTCTGTCTTGTTGCTCTGCCATCCCCTGCGGATTGCCCTGGACCACGTGGTCAGTTCTGGCTCACTGGCAGATGTCCACCTTACAGCCTCAGGAAGGCCGGAGAAGGGGAGGGCAGGCTGGAGTTGCATCATCACTGCTGCTCGCTTCCCATTGGCCAGGCTTGGTCACATGGCCACACCTAGCTGCAAGGGAAGCCATGTGACATCATCCCTGCTGGATGGCTGTGCCTCTAGTCAAAACTCAAGGATGGGGGGCTGGCCCAGTGGCACAGCGGTTAAGTGCACAAGTTCCACTTCGGCAGCCCGGGGTTCACTGGTTCAGATCCCGGGTGCAGACATGGCACCGCTTGGCAAGCCATACTGGGGTAGGTGTCCCACGTATAAAGTAGAGGAAGATGGGCATGGATGTTAGCTCAGGGCCAGTCTTCCTCAGCAAAAAGAGGAAGATTGGTGGCAGATGTTAGCTCAGAGCTAATCTTCCTAAAAAAAAAAAAACAAACTCAAGGATGGTGGTTGTCTTCATCCATTCGTGCTGCTATAACAAAATACCACAGACTGGATAACTTACAAAAAAAAGAAGTGTATTTCTCTAAGTTCTAGATGCTAGGAAGTCCAAGATCCAGGCACTAGCATGGTCGTGTTCTGGTGAGGGCCCTCTTGGTTCGTAGCTGGTACCTTCTTGCTGTGTCCTCACATGGGGGAAGAGGCAAGGCAGCTCTGTGGTGTCTCTTTTATAAGAACATTAATTGTATTCATCAGGGCTCCACCCACATGACCTACTCACCTCCCAAAGGCTCCACCTGCGAATACCATCGCCTTTGAGGGTTAGAATTTCAATGTAGAAATTTTAGGGGGGCACATTCAGGCCATAGCAGGAGTTTTCATTCTCAAAGGAAAGGGGGAAAATGGATTCTGGGGACAGTCAGCAGCTTCTGCCACAGAGCTGGTAAGTGATGGAACCAGGATCTGAGCCCAGGCAGGCTGGCTCCTCTTAACCCCTCTGCTCCTGCCTCTCATCAGAGGAGGGTCCCACCTGGGCCCTGCCTTCCACCTGACTCCACTTCCCCTCCCACCAGGTGGACATCATGCAGATGTGCGTCGTGGAGCTGAAGGAGAGGCCGGGCAAGACGCTCTTCCACCTGGAGCACTATATCGAGGGCAAGTACATCAAGTACAACTCCAACTCGGGCTTTGTCCGCGACGACAACGTGCGCCTGACACCACAGGTGAGGCCCCTGGAGAGGAGGGTCCCTGTGGGGATGGGGTCTTAGCCTTAGAGGGCCCTCAAGCCCCATGGAGCATTCTGAAGGAAATTCTGTAATAAGACACCCGTCACCCGATGCCAGCTTCTGTCAGCCAACCTAAGGTTGCTGCTGAATCAAACAGGGCTGCTTCCTTTGTCTTTTCCTCTATACAGCTCCTCCTTGCAGACAAAGGCCCCCACCATGGGCAGAGCTGGGGTGTCGCAGCCCCTCAGAGTAATGTCTGGCCAGTGACCCTGCAGCCCACAGCCTGGCCTCTTGCTGTCACCTTTTTCTTTCTGCCCCCACAGGCCTTCAGCCACTTCACGTTTGAGCGTTCTGGCCATCAGCTGATTGTGGTGGACATCCAGGGTGTGGGCGACCTCTACACTGACCCACAGATCCACACCGAGAAGGGCACTGACTTTGGAGATGGCAACCTAGGTAGATGGGGAAACCTGTTTCCATGGACTTCCCTTCCCTTCCCCCAAATCTCCCAGCCCTTTGGACACCCAGGAACACAGGCCCAGATAGCATAGTGACCTTCCCGAGATCATGGCGATGGGAGCCTGGGACCTCTGACCCCCTGCCAGTTCTGCACATTTTACGCCTGCCCCTGCCACGTTTCTGGTGCTTGGCACTGCCCCACCCCCTGTCACAAAGCAAAGCAATGCTCCAGACACCCCTGCTCTGTCCACAGGTGTCCGGGGGATGGCTCTCTTCTTCCACTCTCATGCCTGCAACCGGATTTGCAAGAGCATGGGCCTCACGCCCTTCGACCTCTCGCCGAGAGAGAAGGATGCAGTGAATCAGAACACCAAGCTGCTGGTGAGTGCCCGGCGTGAGCCTGCTTGGACTGGCGGGGTATTTCTGCTGCCAGGACCAGCACACCATGCTTCTCTGTGTGATGATGGCCCAGGCCCTGCTGATGCTTACTTGAAAAGTGTCAGGGCTGGAAGGATCTTGGTCCTATCCGCGCCCCTCGTCCCTCCCAAATCAGTGCACAAAGCCTTCCTGAGTGTTGCCGCCAGAGTAACTGGAGTCTGCTTGACTTGGGCCCACTTTTGACCAGAGTGAAGGGACTATATGTGTAGAGATAGTGAGCGAGGTGTGTGGTGTGTGTGTTTGTATGTGTTTGTGTGGGGCGCTGACACATGACTGGACTAGAGTGGGACCTGGCTCTTCGGGCACCTTGCTGTGTCCAGGATGTGCCCATCCCACCTCCACTCCCAGGACCAGATACAAGAGAATATTGGCGGGGCCGGCCTGGTGGCGCAGCGGTTAAGTTCGCATGTTCCGCTTCTCGGCGACCCAGTTCGCCGGTTCGGATCCGGGGTGCGGACTTAGCACCGCTTGGCACGCCATGCTGTGGCAGGCATCCCACATATAAAGTAGAGGAAGATGGGCACGGATGTTAGCTCAGGGCCAGGCTTCCTCAGCAAAAAGAGGAGGACTGGCAGTAGTTAGCTCAGGGCTAATCTTCCTCAAAAAAAAAAAAAAAGAATATTGGCAAAGACCAACTTGGGATTCTGGATATATAGTGACGTGTATTCCCCAGTTCAGAACTGTAAAGTGTGGTCAGCACTTTTGAGAATGCTGGCTGGCAGACCCTTTGAGCTCCTGTTCCAGATGCCCCTTCTGAGAGGCTTTTGGGTTAATCCCCCACTGATTATTTTTGGATTTTCTGCCAGTCCCCAAACAGGTACATATGGGAGCTGTGGCTGACAGGGCCTCAGGTTTCAGGGAAACAACAGGCAACAGGAAGGGCCCCTCATTCCCAGGGGGTGCCTGTGTGACATGAATGTCCCTGTTAATTCTCCAGCAATCTGCCAAGACCATCTTGAGGGGAACAGAGGAAAAGTGTGGAAGCCCCCGAGTAAGGACCCTGTCTGGGAGCCGGCCTCCACTGCTCCTTCGCCTTTCAGAGAACTCCGGAGACGAGAACATGAGCGACGTGACCTTCGACTCTCTCCCTTCCTCCCCATCTTCGGCCACGCCACACAGCCAGAAACTGGACCACCTCCGTGAGTGATGGTTTGGTCTCTGGTCAGTGTGGTTGGAGGGCACAAGCACTGGGTAGGGCAGAGCTAAACTGGCTTTCACTTACTTTATGAGACTTGCTGACCAAAAAGATTCATGGCCCAGATGGTTTTATGGTTGAGTTCTTTGAGTAAACTTTCAAAAGATTGATGGGACCGTTGATAGACATGAGAAAATTCAGGGGGAAAAGTACAAGGATCAGCACGTCATCCAAATGCTAAAAACAACTCGTATTGTAGAAAACAAGGTAATATTTTTCAGTGTGTGTTATGAAAGTAGCAAAACTTTTATACCAAAATTTGACGAAACACCAGAAAAGAAAACTATATCCTAATGTGAGTTATAGATATAAATATACAATGCAAAAAATAAATATATAATACAAAAATTCTAAATAAGGTATTAACACGTAAAGACTAGTAGTATCTTAAAAGAATCGCCTGCCATGGTCAGATAGGGTTTTTGTAGGACTCTGAGGGTTGTTCAACATGAGGAAATTGATAAGCATCATAATAGGTCAAAAGAGAAAAAGTAAATCATTATTTCTGAAGTTGAAGTGACAGTTTGCTCATGATGTGGCAGGAGTTCTGCAGGAAAGAGGGGAGGCAAGGCTGACTCTCAGGTTTTGCCTGGAAGGACCGTGTGGCCGTTTATTCAGCTGGGGGAGGCTGCGGGGGAGCAGGAGAGGAGGACTGACATGTCAAAGGGTAAAGAAGCCTTTTTGTACATCTCTACTAGAAGGCCTGGGGAATAGTATGGAGCAGGAGTCAACAAGCTTTTTCTTAAAAGGCAGAGAATAAAGGTTTTAGGCTTTGGGGGCTGTAGGGTTTCTGCGTTTGCAGCATGAGCACAGCCGCAGACAATACCTAAATGAATAGGCGTGGCAGCGTTCCAGTAAAACTCTAGTTATGGACCTTGGATTTTAAACTTTGTATAATTTTCACATACCACAAAATATTCTTCTTTTGCTTTTTGGACCATTTAAAAATGTAAAAACTGGGTAAGAAATGGTAGACAAGCCAGATTTTGCTCACGGGAGCTCGAGGCGGGGCTAGAGGCGGAACCACCAGGAAGTGGTTGGTTTTTAAGTCATCTGGGCTTCTCCCGGTTGTAGCTACCCATTGGGTCCCGAACGTACAAATGGCTTTTCTTCCTTCACAAGTGTACCTCACTGAGGGCCATCCATGGGCCAAGTGCGTGTGCTTACAAACACGTCAGGCAAGTATATTTGCGTTTGATAACCCTGAGGGTGCACGAGGTTAAGCTGCTTGCTCAAGGCCCCACTGCTGACAAGTGCCAGACTCAGAGAAAGTTCTCAAGGAAGAACTGTAGCCCTCTGGGTGCTGACGACGTTCTTCTTCCATTTTTGCACCTTTCTCTAAAAATTTAAAAGAAAAAAAGGCTTGGTGGCAGATGCGGTCAGCTATAGGCCGAAGGTTGGTCTTGTGAACTATTCCAGTGGTGGAGTCAGCTCATCCCTCTGTTATTTCCCTGCCCAGATTGGCCTGTGTTCAGTGACCTCGATAACATGACACCCCGAGACCACGACCATCTGGACAACCACCGGGTGAGTGGAGAGGGACAGAGAGCGCAGGGCTGGGAGGAGCGAGAACTGAGGGCCCATCCTCAGGCTCAGGTGGGCAGCCCAAGGCTGCTCCCGGCACTGCCAGGAGGGCACAAGGGAATGCAGGTGGATCTCAGCCTCCTCCCCAAAGCAGCAGTTTCCTTTGGGAAGTGCTGGGTCCATTCCAGTTCCTGGAGATGGTTAGAGCAGAGTGTGTCCCAATCAGCAGCAGTGTGAGCTTCTGGTAAGTGCCGGGCTCAGCCCTGGGGGGTTTGGCCACACCTGTGTGGACAGCTGTCTTGGGGGAAGGGGGCTGTCCTGGGTCTCAGATGTGTGATAATCAAGGGTCAGATACACAGGCCAGGTTTCCTGCAGCCTCTTGGTGACTCAGTGGTAAGAAACCGAAGACATTGTATCTGCATTCAGGCAAACATAATATGGTGTCAAATTAAAAATTCATGGGAATTTTCTAAACAGACTTTGCAGAAGTAGCACACTTGCACAGACCCCAAGATCACTTTGTGCTGTAGCCTCAGATGGCTCCAAAGGGTTCAGTTCGCTCTTGACTGCTTTTCAGAGTCCTTGAGTGGAAGAAAAAAATAAGAATAGCTGACAGGTGTGGAGGACTATGGTCAGATGCTGTTTTAAGAGCTTGGCAGATGCTCTCATTTAATCCTCACAACAACCTATGAGATGGATATCATTTTTTATTCCTCTTAGAGTAGGTTTTAACCTAGAATCAGAATGTATTTTAGAATTTCAGAATAGGTCATATATTCTCATGGTTCCAAAGGTGAAAGTTCAAAAGATTAGCTTGGTGGAAGGTCCCCTCCCACCCATCCCTTGGGCGCCTGCTGCTTATCCCAGCATTAGCAGCTGCTTGGGCAGGACTCTCATCATCCCTATTTAGAGATGAGGAAACTGAGGCACAGAAAAGGAGGCTACTTGCTCACGGTCACTCAGTGTTGGAGCCAGGGTTCAAATCCAGGCCGTCTGGCCTCAGACCCACCCTCGGCACTGCTGTCCTCTGCTGCCTTCTCTTCCTCACCTTGTGGTATGCACTGCCTGTTTTTCAGATGAGGAAACTGAGGTTTGGAGAGGTTGATGGCCTCGCCTGAGGTCCCAGAGCTGGGAAGTTGTTGAGCTGGGGTTTGAGTAAGACTCTGTTGCTCGGCTTGGCAGTGGTTCCAAAAGGGGCCACAAAGGGGCCCAAAGTTGTGAGGTGGACGAGGTGCAAGGAGCAGGCTGTCTGGGGGTTCTGGGTATGGCCTGCAGGCTGTTTTCAAAAGCAGCCTTTCACTCAGCACACTGAACACTTCCATTTGGTTGTCTGTAAATTATACTTCCGTTTTAAAAATTAAAGTATTAAAAAAAATGGGGCTGGCCCCATGGCCGAGTGGTTAAGTTCATGTGCTCCACTGCAAGTGGCCCAATGTGTCATTGGTTCGAATCCTGGGTGCGGACATGGCACTGCTCATCAAACCACACTGAGGCAGCATCCCACATGCCACAACTAGAAGGACCCACAACGAAGAATATACAACAATGTACTGGGGGGCTTAGTGGAGAAAAAGGGAAAAAATAAAATCTTTAAAAAAAGTAAAATAAAAAAACAGAATAGGCTGTCAGCCCACACAGAGCAAAGTGTTGGGAGGGAAGCTTGTAGAGCTTCTAGAAACCTGGGAGGGGCCTTTTCAGGATACGTAGCTCCTCCGGTGGAAGGGTCCCTGGACAAACCAGAGGCCAAGGATTAACGAAGGTCTCATGTTAAGGGTCGACAAAGCTGGGTGATAGATGCAGAGGAGTTCGTCTTGGTGTTCTCTGTTCTTATTTGCGTGTTAGAAATACTTCTGAGTAGAATAAAGAAGGGAAAAAGTGAAAGTATTAGCTGGATGGTGATGCCGGTAACATGCAGACGGGGCCTGAACCCAGCGTTAGTAGACAAATGACTGAAGTTGTAGAGATTCTGATTTATACCAGGTTCCCTTTCACAACCGAACTCAGAGCTAGAAGAATAAAAAATAAGCCCCGGTGACTTGTGCAGTTTTGGCAGAGGGCTTAGTTGTAGTAAATGTTGTGCCCAGTCCTGCATTTTTGTCCATAGCTCTTGAACCAGCCTTTGTCTCTCCACCTGTGAAATGGGTCAGCCACTCTCAATAACAGCACTTACTCCGAGCCACACTCTGAGTGTAACTCCTCATTTCATCCTCACAGCACTTTGATATAGGTGCTCTCATGAATCCCCATAGCTAAGGAAACCAAAGCTCAGAGAGGGTGAGCAACTGCCCAAGGTCACAGCCGATGAGTCACAAAGCTCAGATGTGAGCTCAGGCACTGTGGCTCTAGAGCCCAAGCTCTTCACCACTACTTTCTCCTGCTCCCTTGTCACCCAACCAGCAAGGGCAGGACGAAGAGAATGTTAAGTGAGGTGATAGGACAAAGGGGAGAAGGCAAATGGCTGGGATGTCCAGATGTTGTCATACCACCAGGTACTCCAAGGGCCGCTGAGACCCTAGGGCCATCTTCTCTCCACAGGACTCTGAGAACAGTGGGGACAGCGGATACCCCAGTGAGAAGCGGGGTGAGCTGGATGACCCAGAGCCCCAAGAACACGTAAGGAACCTGTAGAAAATGAGACCAGAGTTGCCTGTCGTCTCTCTGTCAGGGAGGATAGAGAGGTGGGGGGGATGTGAGTGGGATGTAAGAATGTAACAAGTAAATTAATAAGTAAGATCATTTCAGATCAAGATAAATGCAGAGCAGAAGACAAAACAGGGAATGTGGACCAGTAGGTTTAGTAAGGGGACAAGTATGGAGGATTAGACCCAAGGTTGAAAATGGTGGACAGCTGTAGTGGTGAAGCTGGGACCTCTGGTTGCTAAGCAGAGTGGAAGCTGGATAATAGCCCAGAATGGTGCTGGTGTAGGTTGGAGGGCCCAGCTCACAGGCACGGGATTCGGGCAAGCCCTGGGGAGAGCCCTAGAGGCCACTTTCCTGAGGCCTCCTTCCAGCAGCATTCTGGTGAGGGTGGCCTTGGACAGTGCCAGCCATTTAGAGGTTTTGCCAGGAGCCAAGATTGAGCCTGAGCATCAAGGCCAATCTTACTGCGAGCCCTCTGTTCTCAGCTTTGTTACTGTGAATAAAGACATGCCAGGAAACTTCGGCTGGGGGAAGGACTTGGCCGAGTTTTTCTGGTGCCTGTCTGCCAGGATCCTGTACCTTTGAGTCAGTTCCATCTTTGCACACAGAGAGAGCAAGACGAAGGCCGTGGCCACCCCAGCACATTGGTCCTGCATCTACCCAGCATCCTCTCTGCTTGGCAGACAAGGGTTCCAGCTTCCCCTGGGGGAGCTGAGCCGGTTCCCTGAGAGGAGGGTCCCTTGGGAGGGCTGGACCTGCCCCCTAGGAAGAGGCTCCCCTGGGAGGGCTGGGCCAGTTCCCCAGGAGGAGATTTTTGGGAAGAATTACTGCTCTTTGGATCACTCTACTCTCTGCCTCCATCAGGGCCACTCAAACGGCACCCGGAGGTATGAGTCGGATGAAGACAGCCTGGGCAGCTGCGGACGGGTAATGTACCCCCAGGAATCCTTGTCGTGGCTGCATGCTTGCCTTTTCCAGGCTCTGTTTCTGTTTCTCCTGCCTCATGTCGCTGCTGCCTGCCCAGGTGCCTCACACGTCTCCTAAAGAAACATGATGGATGCAAAGGAGCCACTCCCCTTAGCAAATACTTTCTGAGCTCCTGGGTGGGATGCTGGGGTATCTGTGGGGAAGGTTAGAGAAGACTAGAATAGCTCCATCCTGGAGCAGAAATTACAACAGCCACAGCTCACATGTTAAAGTCATGCCCATATAAGTGCCTTAGAGTATCAATTAATTTGCTTCTTGCAACCACTCAATGAAACAGGCTAACGCTGTTCATCCCCATTTTACGTATGAGAAAATGGGGGTCTTCAGCAGTGTTCCCCAGGCTAATATTTCCAAGAAGCATCTCGGGTGATCGTTGTCATCAGGCAGTTGTGGGAAAGACCAGCCCTCGGGAACGCTCTTCTCTAGCTGACTCTGAAACACACTTTGAACCTCTCACCTTGGAGCCCCTGCTGAGGCAGGTCTCCCACCTGCAAGGTCCTTCCTCCCCCTCTGGTCGTATCTCGTCAGAGCCTGCCTGCTCTCCAGACTGGACCCCAGTGGCACCTCCTCCAGGAGCCTTCCCTGATCACCACAGCAGGCTTGACTGTTGCCCCTTCCAGAACGAAAATTATTTACCACGTGGTATTATTTACCACGTGGCATTTCTCAGTCGGGTCAAGGTCTCAGTGTGAATGGAGCGTGGTTGCTTACCTGCAGCACCACTGACGTTCTGGGCTGGAACATTCTTTGTTGGGGGACTGCCCTGTACATTCTAGGGTGTTTAGGGCACACATGCACACACATGCTCAGCTGCCTGGCTCTGTCCTGCTGGAACCTTTTGACCAGGTGTCTTTAGCTGGAGACGTCATGTGTTTTTTAAACCCATTCCCCAAAGCATGCTGTTGCTGTTGCCCACAGCACTGTGGTGATGCACAGAGGAAAACAAAGTGGATTTGCTGCACGGTCTGAAGCCAGACTCTCCTGGTGCCTTGTATGGGAAGCTGGCAAAGGGAGCAACTTAGGGTCCAACTTCCCCAACCAAACCCTGATTGATAGATGAGGGGGAAATGCTTCTTTGGGCTGCTGCAGTCCATTCTGCTAGCCTGTGTGGCCTGTTGCTATAATATTCCCTCAGCACCCACAAGCTGGCGGAATGTGAGTGATTAGAAATGAAGTTGTGTTTGTTGAAGAAAACTTGACACCATAAGGGTTCGCTCCCCACACCCCTGAACTTGCCAGCCTTTTTGTGCAGTAGGAGCAGCTGGGGGCTGGTGACAATGTGTCCATCCTCTGCTCCTCACTTGTCTGGCCTATAAACTTCTCCATGCCCGGTTCTTTCCCTCAGGTCTGTGTGGAGAAGTGGAATCTCCTCAACTCCTCCCGCCTCCACCTGCCGAGGCCTTCAACTGTGGCCCTGGAGATGCAAAGGCTTAATGCTCTGGACCTTGAAAAGAAAATCGGGAAGTCCATTTTGGGGAAGGTACCGGTGATGCCCGTTTCAGAGCCCTGTCTGCACTAACCCGGAGCCCCCGGCTCATGCCTCTCCTCCACTAATCACTTCCTCCCCAGGCTGGCTGGGCGGCCCTTGGGTGCGGCTTTGGCCTTCCAGATAGCCGGACCAACAGTGAAGTCTGTGTGGCAGGTCCATCTGGCCATGGTACGCTACCATGAGGGTGGGCGCTTCTGTGAGAAGGATGAGGAGTGGGACCGCGAGTCGGCCGTCTTCCATCTGGAACATGCAGCCGACCTGGGTGAGCTGGAGGCCATCGTGGGCCTGGGACTCATGTACTCACAGCTGCCCCACCACATCCTGGCTGACGTCTCTTTGAAGGTGAGGGTGGGCAGGGACCCAGCCAGAGGGGGGCTTAGTCAATCCATCGTCCTCTCCATCCTGTGGTTTAGGCATGCCACATAAATTTCCTGAACATCAGTTTGGGGCGAGGCATTTCCAAGTTAGTTGAAACTGGTAGAATTGGTCTCTGCCCTTGGGGAGTGAGTGGAAGGTGATGGTTACATTTCCAGGCAATGATGACCTGGTTTGATAGAAGCAGAGGATAGTGCTGGGAACAAATGAGCAAGGGCCCTACCTGGGTTCCCAGGGGTCAGTGTAGGCTTCTTGACTGTCAGTTCCAGCTCTATCCCTAGTGGCTAGAACAGAGCCTGGCACACAGATACTCAGTATTCGTTTGTGAAACAAATACAGAAAGTGATATCTAAGTTAGACCTAAAGGCTGAGGGGGAGTCAGCCAGGCAGAGTGGAGGGGAGCAGTTCAGGCAGAGGGAACTTCGCGTGCTCAGGCCCAGAGTTGACAGACAGGATGATGGATCAGAGGACAGGAGGTGGATATCATCATAGCTAGAGCATGGGGCGTGAGGAGATGTTGCGGGAGATGAGGCTGAGAGTGGGTCTGGACCGGGTCTGAAGCAGCAGGATGTGGGTGTGCTGGGAAATCTGTGAGGGTGTCTGCTCCTCTTTCCCTTCCCTGATCTCTGGGCACAGTGAGCAAAGGACTGAGTGAACAGGATGTGACAAGGCCTGTGGGGTGCGATCTTTTTCTTGGAGAAGTTGAGAGGCTCTTGGCGTGCGTGTGGTCCCAGCGTATCTGTCCTCACCTTCCCTAACACGTGGACCCAGCTGTGGCTGGGTGAGTGGCTTGGCTCGGGGTGGGCTCACTGTGAGCGCAGGGCACTAGCCCTCCTCGGTGGGCCTGGCCACGGCCCAGTGAGTGAGGGGTGTCAGGCCGGAAGAGGGTGCGAAGGCACTCCGAAGTCCTTATTTCACTTTTTAAATATGTAATACATTCTTGTGATGAAAATATTTTTTTAATATAAAAAAGTTTACAGTGAAAAATCTCCCTCCCACCTTTTCCTCTATCCTCTCATTCTCCCTATAACAGATAGCCATTTTTATCAGTTTCTTATATATAATTCCAGGGTATGTTAGTTTCCTGGGGTTGCCATAACAACCACAAACTGGGTGGCTTCAAACCACAGAAATTTATTCTCTCTCAGTTCTGGAGGACAGAATCTGAAATCAAGGTATCAGCAGGGCCGTGCTTTCTCTGAAGACTCTGGGGGAAGATCTTTCCTGTCCCTTCCAGCTTCTAGTGGTTGCTGGCAATCTGTGGTGTTCCTTGGCTTGTAGATGCATCACGCCCATCTCTGTCTCTGTCTTTACGTGGGCTTCTCCTCTCTGTGTGTCTCTATGTCTCTTCTTCTCTTATGAAGACACCAGTCATACTAGAGTAGTCACCCCACCCTACTCCAGTAAGACCTCAACTGATTACATCGCAAAGACTCTTATTTCCAAATCAGGTCACATTTTGAAGTTCTGGGTAGACATGAATTTTGGGGCGATGCTGTTCAACCCAGTACATAGAGTTTCCTTATGCCAATACAGAGTATAGATTTTTTTTTTTGCTTTTTCTCCCCAAATCCTCCGAGTACATAGTTGTGTATTTTTAGTTGTGGGTCCTTCTAGTTGTGGCATGTGGGATGCCGCCTCAACATGGCCTAATGAGCGGTGCCATGTCCACACCCAGGATCCAAACTGGTGAAACCCTGAGCCACTGAAGTGGAGCGAGCAAACTTAACCACTCAGCCACGGGGCCGGCCCCAGAGTATAGATTCTTATTATCACCCTATTTTTTTTTCTCCAAAATTATCATACCACACACACTCATCTGGCCTTTCTTTTCTCACTTGACAAGCGTCCTGTGGACGTTTTTCCTCAGTGGTTTAGGAAAAGCTTCCTCATTCTTTTTGATAGCTGTGTAATGTTCCATTGTGTGAGTGCAGTGTACTTTATTACCTATGCCCTGTTGATGGACATTTGGGTTGGTTCCATTCTTCTGATATGACGAATATTGCTGCAGTGGCTAGCCTTGTACACGTTAAGTTGCACTTCATGAAACTGCCATTTTTGTAGGTCCTAAATGGTAGAATATTGACAGTGTCATATGGCTCAGTCACATACATCATTTGGCACATGGGCAGGAGGTAACCCAATGCCATTTTTACTTCCCATTTTAGATGGTGAGGGGCAGGCTTTGTTGGGGTGGGATTTTGACAGGCTGGCAACTTGTCTCTCTCTCCTCTCTCCCTCCCATCTCCATGCTCCTTGAGGGCAGGACCGACTGTAGTATCTCATTCTTCCAGTGGTGTGCTAGTAAATGTCTCTTACGGGTGGGGAGGGATGTATGCACATATATGTATGTAAGTTTATTATACATTTTACTGATATAAAGAATGTAGAACATACAGTTTACAAACAATCATAAAAATATTCTATATTATAAATTCCATATAGTCAGTTGATCCTCATAGAATGCTTTCGCTAATTTTCGTGGACCTCATATCTGTAGCCCATCTCTGGTTGCAATTGATGGAAGAGTGGAATTCTGACATAACTACTGATTGACACTTTCACTTCAGTGAGTAAGAAGAAAGTGAAATGAGGAAGACATCTGTCTAGCTGGAACTTTATTTGCTGCTGATGTGAGCAACTTCTTTGCTGAATCAGATAATAGTTTTAAATACTGAAGAATGTTTCTTCAATTTCCTGTGCTAGTCACAATAATGGCTACAGACATGACACAGTTTTAAATTAATTTGCGATATTAATATTTTCTCCGTATCTTTTTTCAATCAAGACAAAAAACCAATACACCAACCCTTGATCTGTAGCATTTTCCACTTTCTGTGGTGTAAATGCTCCTCCTGAGGCCAAGTGCAAGGTACGAACATGACATCACTGAACGTGGAGTTGGGAAGAAATGCACAGTAGCACACCATTATATAGTATTTCCACCATACGGATTCAATGGACCAGTGGTTCTCGACCAGTCATTTTGCCCTTTCCTTCTCCATGGGACACTTGGCGATGTCTGGAGACATTTTTGGTTGTCACAACTCTGGGATGCAATTGGCGTCTAGTGGGTAGAGGTCAGGGATGCTGCCAAATGCCCCACAATGCACAGGACAGCCCCACAACACAGAATTATCTGGTCCAAAATGTCAGTAGTGCTCAGGTTGAGAAGCCCTGCAATAGATATAAATAACCCTAAGAGCATAGATAATAGTAAAATAATTAGGAAGTGATGAGCTTTGAGTATTTGTTACCTTTCATTTAATTGTAAGTTTATGCAATTTAATTTTTAATAATGGCTGTATTTTACAACCAGCTTGCAAAATTCCTGCAAATTTTAGTCGTTTCTCACAAGCCTGTAGACTGGCTCCAGTGAACCACTGCAGTGGGCCTGTCCCCCCAGCATCTGCCACAGAGCCTGGCACAGAGGGCACACTCAGAGGGTTCGAGGCCTGAATAAAGGAATGCCGGAGCCCAGGATGAGTGACGGGGGGGCCAAGACTGGGGGAGATCTCCTCTCTTTGAGACTCCCTGGTAACTCTCCTTGTGATCTCAGGCTTTTTACACCAGCTGCACCCTGGCACCTTTGTTAAAGGGAAGCAGGAGCGATTTTAGTCTGCTCGTCTGCAGGCGTCCCAAAGACCTTTCTCTTGAGGACAGACTCTGGCAGCTTCCCCTAGCAGGAGTGTGGTTGGATGGAGCAGTGTGTTTAGGACAGGGCAGGAAGGAAGTGAGCTGTAATCAAGCCAAGCTTATGACTTAGCAAGGAAAATGATGCCTACGTGCTCTGAGAGGTTGCTGTGTGCTCTAGAAAGCTCGTCTCCCACTTTCCCCAATGCCCCCACTCTTTGGGCCTTTTTCTGTTGTCTCACTAAGACACACATTCATCCAGCACACTTTCTGAGCATCCCCTATGCTCTGGGCACTGTTCTAGGTTCCTATTCATGACAGCAAACTTTTTAGTTCGGGAAGGATGTAGTACAGATAATAATTAACAAATGAAAATATTCCCAACAGATTTTAAAAAAACCAACCTTTATTGAGCACTTCATGTGCCAAGCATTGTTCTAAAGTGCTGGGGAGAAAATATGAGAGGAAACGTGATCAAGAGTGGCTGGCTAGGCCTCTCGTCTTAGACACAGTTTCCGGCTGCAAGGCAGGCTGGGAAATGTAGTCTTTAGCTGGTCAACCCTGTGCCAGCAAAAACATGGTGGGAGAGAATGGATATGGGGAACAACTGGTAGTCCCTGCCACACTTCTTGAAGCCTGAAGGTTAAGAAGGGCCTCATGGGCTGTTAGGAAGGTTTCGGATTTATCTCCGAGTAAGATAGGAAACTATGGAGCAGATTTGATAGAGTAATGTGACCTGACGTAGGTTTTAAAAGCATCTTTCTGGCTGCTTCTGTGGGATGGATCTTGGGGGAGCAGAATGGAAGCAGATGAGAATGTACGCTGCTGGTGGGAGAGTATAGTGGTGCAGCCACTGTGGAAAATAGTTGGGAAGCTCGTCAAAAGGTTAAACATAGGGTTACATGTGACCCAGCAATTTCACTCCTAGGTATATACCCAAGAGAATAAAAACATACATCCACACAAGAACTTGTACACAAATGTTCATGGCAGCATTATTCATAATAGCCAAAAAGTGGAAACAAACCCAATGTCCATCAACTGATGAATGGATAAATAAAATGTGGTATATCCATACAGTGAAATGTTATCTGGCCATAAAAAGAATGAAGTGCTGATACATGCTAAAACATGAATGAACCTTGAAAACTTTGTACTAAGTGAAAGAAGCCTGTCACAAGAGGCCACATTGTATGATTAAATTTATATAAAATGTCCAGAATAGGGAAATCTCTAGAAACAGAAAGTAGATTAGTGGTTGCCTAAGGCTGGGTGGGATAAGACAGTTGGGAGGTGACAGTTAAGGAGTATGGTGTTTGGTTTCTTTTTGGCTTGATCAAAATAGGAAATTGATTATGGTGATAGTTACACATTCTTTAAACATACTAAAACCCGTTAAATTGTATACTTTAAATGGGTGAATTATATGGTATGTGAATCAGATCTCAATAAAGCTGTTAAAAAGAATGGAAGCAGGGAGCCCTGTTGGAAGCAAGAGATGATGTGGCTCTCTGGAGGAGTCAGAGCAGAGAGAGGTGAGTGAGCTAAGCTTCCATTTCTCCTTGCCTGATGGAAACCCCCAAGGAGCTCATTGCAACACGGTACCAGGCCTTTTCTCTTTCCCATGATGAGCATTTCTACAGCAGCCCCAGCCCATGGCTCTCAAAACAGTCCGAGAAATGGGAAGAAGATTGATTAGTGAGATCCTGGCAGCCCCTCCAGTGCAAGCCTTGTTTACTTTTTCTCTCCCCCTCTTTGGTTTGTATTGACAGGAGACGGAAGAGAATAAAACCAAAGGATTCAATTATCTACTGAAGGCAGCTGAAGCTGGTGACAGACAGTCCATGATCCTGGTGGCACGGGCTTTTGACACTGGCCAGAACCTTAGCCCAGACAGGTACTGTGGCTGTCGCTCAGGTGGAGCTGGTGGGACCCTGGGCTGCAGGTGGCAGGTTCCCCTCCAGTATCAGTCCAGACCCAAGTTCCAGGCTTGGCTCCCCTGGTACCAACCCGCTAACGGGGGCAAGTTATTTTACCTCCTTGGCTTCAGTTTCTTCATTGTGTAAAATGGGAATAATTATAGAATCTGCATCCTAGGGTTGTTGTTTGAGGGTTAAATGAGATGATGCCTGTAATTCCCACTCTGCCTGGCACATAAAGCATAAGATAAATGGCGAGCATCTTAGCCATGATATATCAAGATTTACCTGAGAACAGGTCTGAAAGGATATGCAGTATGAAGTCCAGAGTGGTTGTCCCTGTATGTTAAGATTATAGGTGAGTTTAATTTACTCTTCCTACTTTTATTTTTGTCATTTTTCACTTCCGAGTAGTGAGGGGACGGGAAGGGAGCAAGCTCCAGGGGTGAGCTCAGGCCTAGTGGGAGTTTTCCAGAGTGGCTTTGAGGCTGCTGAAGGCTGTGACTCTGCAGGTGCCAACACGTTTTCAGTTACCCCTTGGGCTGAGATGCCAGGACGGGTTTCTGTAGTGGGAGGAGAGGAGAGTGGCAGCTGCATCTTGGCTTGGCCTGAGGGAGATCCCAGAAATCCAGATGCAGAGGGCCACTGGGGGATTTGAACCTGTATTGGGACCCATTGCTCACCCTCTGTGGCCCTCATTGGGTCTCAGCCACCCACGGTTGTCCTCAGGAGCCTGTGGCTTTCTGGAAGGGAGCAGGGTGGGCACATTCATTGTCTAAACCTCCAGGGTTGGAGCAGCCTGGCAGTTTCCCCCTCTTTGGGTCAAGGTCTCATCTCCCTCTCACTGGGTTTAGAATAAAGAAAGTCAGCACTGTGGCTGTATCATATTAAGCTCTCAGGGTCTAAAACGCCTGGATACATGACATCCTGCCTGTATTACATATCATGCAGCCCCAGGCTTTATCACTTACCTACTATGTAACAGTAATGCTCCCTTGGACCACACTTTCATATCTATGATTTTATTTCACTGGGCACAAGGAATTGCATCTCCTGCATCTCTGTAGTCCCATTTCTTAGTGCAGGGCCTGGCTCAGTAGTTTGGATAAATCAGCACATCTTTTTGACGTTGACAGAGCAGGTATTTTGGGACCCATTTCATGGATGAGTAAACTGTAGTTCTCAGAAGGGAAGGGACTTACCCATGGTCAAATAGCTAGTAAGTGGCAGAGCCAAAACTTAGGTCTTCTCACCTCTCCTCCAGTGGACTGTCCACTGGCCTACTTCCTAGTGGAGTCAGAACTATACTGGCATGGAGGGGAGGTAAACAAAAGACATGACATAATTGTGTCAGATCAATGCCAGTGTATATGGTTCCCATTGAGTCAGTAGGGAAAGCACAGCATGAGTGCAGGGAGCTGGTGCTAGGCATTAAATATTTGTATCTGAGGTCCTTAAAAAAATCTTTGCTCTATGGTTTTTCTTCATGTCCTTTGTCTACTTTTCCTTTTTATTGAAGATAATTTTTTTGTTGTTGATTTGTAAGAATTTTTTATATATTAAGGCTTTAATATTAATGCTTTGGCATAGGAGTTCGCTTTTGAAAAATTTTTTTTCAGAGATGGCTACCATAGTCATCGCGGAACGGGAGATGGCACATGTGCCACACAATAACCATTGTTTATTGGATTTAGGAACACCCTGGTTTTAATATTTATGCGGTTAAATCTATCAAAATTTTTATTATAGCTTCTGCTGTAGTCATTTTCTTATTCTTCTTCCTCATTCCAAGCAGCTCCAGCCTCTTCCATTCAGGGAGCATTAATTAAAGGCCTGCGATGGGAAAGCTATTTGGGCCATGCAGGCCCAAATTTGCATTCAAGGGATTTTGACCTTCTCAGAAGTTACCATCTAATAGAGGAAGGAAAAGTCACTGGAAATTCCAAGGCAGGGTGGGCACCCCAACTACTGGGTATAGAATTGGCAGGGGTTGGGGGAGAGATTAGGCCCTCCCCTCTTTCCTATTTAATGCTTTTGGGGCAATTCTACTTTGCCCTTTAAGACAGAGGAGAGTCAGAGCTGAAAGGGTCAGATCAACTACTTTAGTGGCTGCCAGTCCACTGTTAAAACCCTAGTTTGTTAGGTGTGTCACCGATAATTTTCAAATGATTACCCTTTTTTATAAAATAAAATGGTGTTAAAGTTATCTCCCGAGCACCATCCCAGCCAGCCACTTCTTTATGTTTATTCATTCAGCAGGCGTTTAGTGAGGCTGTGCCATTTTCCAGGCCCTGGGATTGCAGCCGTAAACAAAGCAGACAGGGTCCCTGCCTTCCTGGGGCTTACGTCCTAGTGATAATAAACAAGCAAATAAGCAAACAGGAGAATTACAGACTGTGGTGGTTTTAAGAGATAGGGTGCTTGAGGACAGCGTCTTGGAAGAGATGATGTGTGAGCTGAGGTTGGAGGGAGGAGGAGACAGGTGTGGAAAGAAAATTCCAAGCAGAGGGAGCAGCAGGTGCAAAGGTCAGGGAGCAGACAGGAGCTGGCATGTTTGGAGACTAGAAAGTGGTCCAGCAAGTCTGGCACAGAGGGAGGTTAACAGGAGCTAAGATGGGGGCAGAGCCAGGTTAGGTAGGGCAACAGGGGGAGGACAGCCATTATATTATAGCTGGTGCTCCTGAAATGTTTCATGAAATCCACAGATCTTCTTATCTGCATCTCTCTCTGTTCTGATGTGCCGTAAATAGTTACTCACGTGCTTGGTGATACGCAGTTAGTACACACCCAGAGAGGAAGAGCGTGCTGCCCTGTTTGCTCTGTATTTCGTGGTGTTCAGATGTGGTTGGGAACTGGGTGTGCCCTTGATGGTTTGGCTATATGTTTGGCTGCAGTAAGAGAAAGAGTTGAAGGTAGAGGGGCGGAGCCAGAAGAGGGAAGCCAGGTCTTTTAGGGTAAGCCCTGCATTGTGCAGGAGGAGAGCCCAAGCTGGCCAGCACAGGCAGTGCATAAGATGGGGACAAAAGATTGCCAATAGCTCAGATGGTTCTAGAGGCCTTGGCAAAGGGTCCCTACCCACCTCCTCTCCTACTCGTCATAGGGCAGATTGACTGGGATACCAGCCACTGCTAATGCTAGCCCATAGGGTGATTTTGTGCAAAGTAGAAAAATGCCCCCCTTCCTCAAGATGCTTTACTTTCATCTGTTGGAAAATTGTTGTAATATACCGATTTTGGTAGGGAAAGCTACTTGACTGCTGTCATAATATATAAATCTACAATGTGAATGATGCCCCTTACATGTGGTGACATTGGGGTCTATGGGTCATGAAGCAAAGGTGGTGGCCCCACTGGGATCTCTGACTTCCCCTCCTGCTGGATGGCCCTCCTCCCTCCTGCCTTGTTGCTGCGGTAACCTCCCTCTTTCCCTCTGTACATCCTGGCCAGGTCCCAAAACTGGCCGGAGGCCCTGCACTGGTACAACACTGCCCTGGAGACGACAGATTGTGATGAGGGCGGTGAGTATGATGGGATGCAAGACGAACCCCGGTACACGCTGCTGGCCAGGGAGGCTGAGATGCTGTTCACAGGTGGCTGCGGGCTAGAGAAGGACCCGCAGAGATCAGGTACGGCCTGGCAGACCTGCCCCTGGAGTGGGACAGGACTGGACAGGGAGGGTCATAATTCCTGTCTCAATGGGAATTATGGCAAGATGCAAGGCTGATTCTCTCTTCTCAGTACTGGTGGGGAGAAACATTCATACTGGCCCTATATTTTGCCAGGCTGGATACCCATGTAGTGTGGGCTCAGGAGGGGGCTTTATGGAGCTGGTATTCAGATGAACGTTTTTGTTTTACTGGTTATATATTAGGGGTTTGGGAGATTTTGGTTTCTTTCAATTTTGAAAATTGAATTGACGTTTTCATAACAGAAAATTCACCATTTTAAAGGGTACAGTTCAGTGGTTTTTAGTAGGATTCACAATGTTGTGCCACTGTCACCACTATCTAATTCCAGAACATTTCCATCATGCCAAAAAGAAATCCGGTACCTGTTAGCAGTGAATCCCTATTCCCGCCTCCCTCCACCCCTGGCAATCCCCAACCAATTTTCTGTCTTTATGGATTTACCTATTCTGGACATTTTATATAAATGGAATCGTACAGTATGTGGCCTTTTGTGTCTGGCTTCTCTCATTTAGCGTAATATTTTCAAGGTTCATCCATGTTGTAGCATGTATCAGTACTTCATTCCTTTTTATTGACAAATAATATTCCATTGTACAGATGTACCACATTTTGTTTATCCATTCATCAGTTGATGTACATGTTAAATATATATTATTTTCTGTTACGTAATAAACATACTGACCTCCTGGTTTCACAGGTATGGGATAAGCCTAAGTTTAAGAGTTTTTTTTTGAGATTGTATAAAAAAATTAAGCAAATAATAATGTGGAGCTATAATCCCATACTTGAAATTTCTAAATCCAAAAAACTTTGAAAACCAAGTGTTTTTATATGTTTTGCATAAATTCATTTGGTGGCACAACCTATCCAGAACTGACATGAGGCTATATAATCTTTATTTCTTCTATTTTCTTTCTTCCACTTTCATACATCCCCAGTTAGTCCTGCAAAAGTCCTTAGCCTGATTCTCATTGGCTCAAATAGAATCATCCACCCACCTCTAAACCAATCACTGCACTCATTGAGATGGCTTACACTGATTGGCTATGCCTAAATCTGGACCAATCCCTGAGGCCTGGTAGGAAATGGGGAGTACTTTGATTGGCCAAGCTTGAATCACATGCCCACCCAGAGCCCCACCCCAGCCATGTGGAAGGAGAAGGTGTGGGGAGTAGTTTGGGTCCTTAAGAAACCTCAGGATGCTGTTCCCAGGGATGGGAGTGGGGGAGAAAACAACAGATGGTTCACCTCTTTGTACCCTACTTTGCTCTCTTTCAGGCGACTTGTACACCCGGGCAGCCGAGGCAGCGATGGCAGCCATGAAGGGCCGGCTGGCCAACCAGTACTATCAGAAGGCGGAGGAGGCCTGGGCCCAGATGGAGGAATAACTTGCTGGGAAAAGCCCTGCTGGCCAGTCCCAAGCAAAAGGGCTAGGAGGGAGGAGAAAAAAGACTTATTTACTTATTTAGGGTTTTTTGGAGGGGAGGAAGGGCAAGTATTTTTAGTGTATTGTAAATCAATTTTTGTATTTCCTTTTTTTCCACTCTTTAAAATATCTTTGCTACCAGCAGAGACTCTACTGCTGTCCCCTAGGGCAGCATTTTGGGGAAGTGGGGATTGAAAATGCAGCCTAATTAACCAACCTATCGTTCTGAGGTTCTTGTTTTGTGTTATCATGAGATGTAAGAAAGTGCTTTTCTGCTCTGGATGGAAAACCTTAGGGCCTTGCCCACTGGCCTTTCCAGGCTGGACTGAAATCTTAGGCCCATAGGGCCTGTGTTTCCTGAGCCAGGGCTGGGAAGGTAGAGCCGCACATTAGCTTTCCATGGGTGTAGTGCGATGACTTAGTGCACAGGCTGCTTTCTCAGAGCGTTTGGAAGTGTGCATGGCGCTATTCTGTGGATGTGAGATTGTGTAGTACCCAGGCCCCCTTCTGCCCTAGGGGAGGGCCCGCACGCTGACTGTTTGCTCATCTTTTAAATTTCCTTCCTGAAATGGAGCTGATTTTCTGGAATACAGCCGAATTCTGTTTTTGAGCCTGCTTTCTACAGTGGGCTTCACAAAACAGGTTTGATTTTCGTATGCACACATTTACTACCTCTAAGTCCTCCATCAGCTAGTGTGGAAGTGGGTGCACCTCACAACTTGTCCGTGTAACAGGACAGGGGCTTGATACGTTGGAGCCTTTCCTCCAAGCAGACGTGTACTCTGCACCTCAGTGGCAGCATCCACAATGTGACTGAAGTACCCCTTGCACACAGTATTCCTCCGTGTTTTCTTAGCATCTGATGTTTTCGTGTAGAATCTGTTCCACAGGGCACCCCCCTCCGCTCCCCCCTTGGTATTTTCTGCTTGAAGCTAGGCTGATTTTCTTGTAATTTGCAGCAGGATGTTTTCAGCAGCAGTCCCTTGGGATATGTCGAAGCTGTCTGAGAATGAGAGGGCAAGAACTATAAACACTCATTAATTCCAGTAGTTTCCCTAGGGCCAGGCTATGGCTATCTGTATTTAATGAGCTTTCCCTTTAAAAGGAATTCAGATTTAATATCAGTGTGACTTCAGTTGGTGTTTCAAATAGCAGAGAAAACAGACTGCTTTGATCAACCGCAAGTGCTAATGCAGCCTCTCTTTCTTTGTTTAAAAATCAAAACATGAAAAAGCAGAGTGTAACATACAAACCACTCTTATGTGTTCATTAAAACAGATCCTTCAACACGCTAGTGTTAGGTGCTGTGGAGTCATAAACCTGTGCCAGCATTAGGTTCCAAAGTTCAGAGTGTGCCCTAAAGGAAAAATCAAGCACAGTCAAAAGTACCCTTTAAAAATCCTTTAGACTGCCTATAAATGACAGTATCCCTCATTTTTGTATAGGGACTCTAAAGGAAACAGCCAGTTTCCTTTAGAAGTTGGAACTGATCGCTCTTTTTACATTGGCACCAGATCAGGTGGTTGGCTTGTGTTTTTTGTGGGTATGTTAGATGTCAGTTGGGAGCAACTTGATTGTGACTTATCTATCCAAAGGAATCAGCCTCAAATAATTCATGCTTTTTTTGTTATTGTTAATTCAGCCAGCCTCCTCTCTCTCTGAGACTTTATTGTACAAATAATTTAGGTTCCCTTACCACCTGTCTCATTTCTTAGTTATACATCAATGCTTATCTCTAACACAGGGATGGCAACTCTTTTGTAAAGAGCCAGATAGTAAGTATTTCAAACTTTGCGAGCCGTATGTTCTCTGTTGCAGCTGTTCCGCCCTGCTGTTGTACTGCAGAAGCATCGTGAACAATACCTAAAGACTGAGTGTGGCTGGTGTTCCAGTAAAACTTTACTTACCTAAACAGCCTGCCTGGGCTGGAGTTGCTGAGTCCTGCTCTCATCCTTGACTGAAAGCTACTGTATTAAGCCCTGAGGGCAAGAGCTATGTCAGTTTTTCGGCCTCCAGGGCTCAAATACACAGTGCCTTGGCACAGAGTAGGCGCTCAATAAATGCGTGAACAAATGGGGGGCCAGCCCTAGTCACTGCACTCACTCTTTGTGGCTCTGGTTCCTCCAACCAGTTAATGATTGGCTTGAACCATTACCCCTGCAATTCCGTGCCCCACCCCCCCACCCACCCACATAGCCTTAATGTCAGCAGGTGGTCCCCTTCTCCTCCAGGGGGCTGGGATGGCCTGGATATATAGCTAAGCAAATGCTGCTTTAAGGACCATTGAGAGTAAAATGATGTACAAGATGTTGAGATCCTTCTGAACCAGCCAGAGAACTTATCCCATGTTCAAAACCTAGTTTTATGCCTTCTAAAGCTGGTTAGGGCATCTTCTTTTTCCACAAATACTGGGTACGCAAAACAACAACAAAAAAGCCCCGGGACATTGCAGCCTAACTGGGAAGCCCTCAGAGACTGTCTTCAAGTGCGAGAAGCAGGTGAAGGTCCTGGAACTTAGGCGAGTCGGGGTATAATCTGATACTTTCAATGACAGGTGGAGAAATTGAGGTTCTGAACGGTAGACTCTTTCACAATGACACTGCCAGTTAGTGGCTAAACTGGAGCTCGGGTTTGAGAGGTGCTGTTATTTACAGATCCTGGGAATAAAATTTAAAGTTAAACTAGAGTTTAATGTTTTCAGTTTTGCTATAGGTTAAAACAAAAACGGGCTTTATGCATGGAAAAAGAAAAAATAGTCCCAAACCCCAGTGCTTCGGACCATCCTTGTTCCTTACCTGAGGCATTGTGGGAATTTATCATCAGATGCAACCTCGATGAACTAAGCCATGTAAACTACCCTTGTAGCTATTTTAGTGACTTCTTTCCTTTCATCCCAGCGCATCTGTCTGCAGTACTAGACACATTTTACAAATCAACAAATGTTTACACAAATATATGCAGCTTGTGTGGGAGAAAGGAGACAAAATATGCATCTACTCTGCATGGATTTGTGTCTGTGACTCGTGTTTCTAAGTCTCTGAGGTAACCATTTAGCCTAGACAAGGTGGAATAGGGTGGAACCCAGAGAAGTGGCTTGTGTTACAGATTTATTTTTACATATGTATTAAGTTCCATTTTGTCTTCCCAAATAAAGTGGTTTCTTTCTTTCTGGTCACAAAGTCAAATGTCTCCTGGTAACAAATGAGTGAGGTAGTTGGCTGGCGCCGGAGGTAAATTGGAGGGCTCAGGCCACATCTGAAAGAGGCAGCCAAGATTCAGCTCCGAATGATTGTCTCCATGGGGGGTGGGCCCCATGTTGCCCTGTTTTCTGATTTTTCAAGAGCTGCTGAAAGTTGGATTGTTTAATGCAAGGTCTCCTGATTTTTAACATTTCTAATAAATTGTGATTAAAAAAAGCCTTCCAGGTTTGGCCCGTATGTTGTCCATTTCCTTTAGATAAAGTATGTGAATCTCTCTTTTTTCTTGACTTTTCTCATCTATAAAACAGAATAATCTTTACCATTACAGAGTTGTCATCACCTTCAAAGAAGATAATGCATGTTACAGATGCTTTGCGCTATGCTGAGGTGGCGTCCCACATAGCAGAGCCAGAAGGACCTGCAACTAGAATATACAACTATGTACTGGGGGGCTTTGGGGAGAAGAAGAAAAAAGAAGATTGGCAACAGATGTTAGCTCAGGTGCCAATCTTTAAAGAAAAAAAATGAAAAAAGATGCTTTGTGATCCAAAGCCGAAGAAAATCTTGGTTACTGGTATGATCATTTGGTTTCAAGCTAATGGTTTTTTATTTTTAAGAAAGTTGAATGTAGCATGACTGTGCATCGTAGGCTGAATACATGTATTTAGGTCCATTTGCTCATAAATCCCCACTAAAATGACAGGAAAGAGATTTTGTTAATGGCATGAACCCATGAGGATGAAGAGGAAGAGGTGTCAACAGCAACAAAATTTTGGATGCTGGCAAGCAGGTAGACTGTAATTCAATTAGTGGACCCAAGAAGGGTGGATTCTAAGTAAGCAGTGGAGAAATCTAAGAACCCCCAAAAGGCTGAAGAATTGACATTAGGAACCTCTTGAAGGGGGAATGAAATGGGGCTGAAATGGTAGGGTCAGTTGAAAGACAGACTGCATCAGACCGCTAGACCTGCTCAGCTCCCATGTGTAGCCAGCCAGCCACCTCTCCATCACCCTGCAGAAGCCTGGGGCACCAGGCACAGTAGAGAGAAGCTATTCTACTGGAGGGAGGGGTAGGTGGAAGTTTCCATATAGGATACAGAGTCTCCACTAGCCACCTTTTGACCCTGTGCTGCCAGGCACTGGAAGCTTGACTTTGACAGATGCTTGGAGAAATCCCTAGAGAATCTGACCAGCCCAAGATAAAAGACTTAAAGGTACTTCCCCCTAATGAAACAGGCTGGCTGGAGTACCTCACAGGGAAGGCCCCAGGCACCAAGCCCTGCCCACACCCGCAGAAATTCCCAGACAACTTATTAGAGCCCCATTCTTAAACTTGAACAGCTGGCCAAAGACCCATACTAAGGGAAGTATTTCATATGAAAGACATTAAACCAACAGAACAAAGCATCTTGGAGGAAACAGACTATAGGGGAGAAGAAAACTTTACATAACAAAAAACTATCAATATCCTTAGATAAAATATTGCATCCTTGAAAAGAGCAAGATTCAATTCTAAAAATTCACACAACAAAAGAGCTCTTGTAAACTGAATATACCCTTACAAAAATGAGTAACTTTTTTTTTTTTTTTACTTTTTTTTTTTTTATTAATGTTATGATAGATTACAACCTTGTGAGATTTCAGTTGTACATTTTTGTTAGTCATGTTGTGGGTACACCACTTCCCCCTCCGTACCCTCCCCCCACCCCCCCTTTCCCCTGGTAACCACCGATCAGATCTCCTTCTCAATATACTAATTTCCACCTATGAGTGGAGTCATATAGAGTTCGTCTTTCTCTGACTGACTTATTTCGCTTAACGTAATGCCCTCGAGGTCCATCCACGTTGTTGTGAATGGGCCAATTTCGTCTTTTTTTATGGCTGAGTAGTATTCCATTGTGTATATATGCCACATCTTCTTTATCCAATCATCAGTTTCTGGGCATGTAGGCTGGTTCCACTTCTTGGCTATTGTAAATAATGCTGCGATGAACATAGGGGTGCAATGGACTCTTCAGATTTCTGATATCAGGTTCTTAGGATAGATACCCAGTAATGGGATGGCTGGGTCATAGGGTATTTCTATTTTTAACTTTTTGAGAAATCTCCATACTGTTTTCCATAGTGGCTGTACCAGTTTGCATTCCCACCAACAGTGTATGAGGGTTCCTCTTTCTCCACAACCTCTCCAACATTTGTCGTTCTTGGTTTTGGATGTTTTTGCCAATCTAACGGGGGTAAGGTGATATCTTAGTGTAGTTTTGATTTGCATTTCCCTGATGATTAGCGATGATGAACATCTTTTCATGTGTCTATTGGCCATATTCATATCTTCTTTTGAGAAATGTCTGTTCATGTCCTCTGCCCATTTTTTGATCGGGTTGTTTGTTTTTTTGTTGTTAAGCAGTGTGAGTTCTTTGTATATTATGGAGATTACCCTTTGTCGGATAAGTGGCTTGTAAATATTTTTTCCCAATTAGTGAGCTTTTTTTTTGTTTCAATCCTGTTTTCCCTTGCCTTGAAGAAGCTCTTTAGTCTGATGAAGTCCCATTTGTTTATTCTTTCTATTGTTTCCCTCAACTGAGGAGTTACAGTGTCCGAAAAGATTCTTTTGAAACTGATGTCAAAGAGTGTACTGCCTATATTCTCTTCCAAAAGACTTATTGTCTCAGGCCTAATCTTTAGGTCTTTGATCCATTTTGAGTTTATTTTGGTGTGTGGTGAAAAAGAATGGTCAATTTTCAATCTTTTGCATGTGGCTGTCCAGTTTTCCCAGCACCATTTGTTGAAGAGACTTTCTTTTCTCCATTGTAGGCCCTCTGCTCCTTTGTCAAAGATAAGCTGTCCATAGATGTGTGGTTTTATCTCTGGGCTTTCAATTCTGTTCCATTGATCTGTGGACCTGTTTTTGTACCAGTACCATGCTGTTTTGATCACTGTAGCTTTGTAGTATGTTTTGAAATTGGGGATTGTGATTCCGCCGGCTTTGTTTTTCTTGCTCAGGATTGCTTTAGCAATTCGCGGTCTTTTGTTGCCCCATATGAATTTTAGGATTGTTTGTTCAATTTCTGTGAAGAATGTTCTTGGGATTCTGATTGGGATAGCGTTGAATTTGTATATTGCTTTAGGTAGTATGGACATTTTAACTATGTTTATTCTTCCAATCCATGTGCAAGGAATGTTTTTCCATCTCTTTATGTCATCGCCTATTTCTTTCAAGAAAGTCTTGTAGTTTTCATTGTATAGATCCTTCACTTCCTTGGTTAAGTTTATCCCAAGGTATTTTATTCTTTTCATTGCGATTGTGAATGGGATAGAGTTCTTGACTTCTTTTTCTGTTAGTTTATTGTTAGTGTATAGAAATGCTACTGATTTGTGCACGTTAATTTTATACCCTGCTACTTTGCTGTAGTTGTTGATTATTTCTAATAGTTTTTCTGTGGATTCTTTGGGGTTTTCTATGTATAAGATCATGTCGTCTGAAAACAACGAGAGTTTTACTTCTTCGTTCCCTATTTGGATTCCTTTTATTTCTTTTTCCTGCCGAATTGCTCTGGCCAGCACCTCCAGTACTATGTTGAATAGGAGTGGTGAAAGTGGGCACCCTTGTCTTGTTCCTGTCCTCAGAGGGATGGCTTTCAGCTTTTGTCCATTGAGTATGATGTTGGCTGTGGGTCTATCATATATGGCCTTTATTATGTTGAGGTACTTTCCTTCTATACCCATTTTACTGAGGGTTTTTATCATAAATGGGTGTTGGATCTTGTCGAATGCTTTCTCTGCATCTATTGAGATGATCATGTGGTTTTTGTTTTTCATTTTGTTGATGTAGTGTATCACGTTGATTGACTTGCGGATGTTGAACCATCCCTGTGTCCCTGGTATAAATCCCACTTGATCATGGTGTATAATCTTTTTGATGTATTGCTGTAATCGGTTTGCCAAAATTTTGTTGAGGATTTTTGCGTCTATGTTCATCAGTGATATCGGCCTGTAGTTCTCCTTCTTTGTGTTGTCCTTGTCAGGTTTGGGGATCAGAGTGATGCTGGCTTCATAGAATGTGTTAGGGAGTTCTCCGTCTTTCTCAATTTTCTGGAACAGTTTGAGGAGAATAGGTATTAAGTCTTCTTTGAATGTTTGGTAGAATTCTCCAGAGAAGCCGTCTGGTCCTGGACTCTTGTTTTTGGGGAGGTTTTTGATTACCGTTTCTATTTCCTTACTTGTGATTGGCCTATTCAGATTCTCCATTTCTTCCTGATTCAGTTTGGGGAGATTGTAGGAGTCTAGGAATTTGTCCATTTCTTCCAGGTTGTTCAATTTGTTGGCATATAGTTTTTCATAGTATTCTCTTATGATCTCTTGTATTTCATTGGTATCTGTTGTGATTTCTCCTCTGTCATTCCTGATTTTATTAATTTGCGATTTCTCTCTTCTTTTCTTGGTGAGTCTGGCTAGGGGTTTGTCAATTTTGTTAATTCTTTCGAAGAACCAACTCTTTGTTTCATTGATCCTTTCTATTGTCTTTTTTGTTTCAATATCCTTTATTTCTGCTCTTATTTTTATTATTTCCCTCCTTCTACTGACTCTGGGATTTGTTTGTTCTTCTTTTTCTAGTTCTGTTAGGTGTCGTTTGAGGTTGCTTACGTGAGCTTTTTCTTGTTTAGTGAGGTGAGCCTGTATTGCGATGAATTTCCCTCTTAGGACTGCTTTTGCTGCATCCCAAATGATTTGGTATGTCGTGTTCTCATTTTCATTTGTCTCCAGATAATATTTGATTTCTTCTTTAATTTCTTCAATGATCCATTGTTTGTTGAGAAGCGTGTTGTTTAGTCTCCACATTTTTGCACCTTTCTCTGCTTTTTTCTTGTAGTTGATTTCTAGTTTAATAGCGTTATGATCAGAAAAGATGCTTGATATTATTTCAACTCTCTTGTATTTATTGATGTTTGCTTTGGTTCCCAAAATATGGTCAATCCTTGAGAATGTTCCATGTGCACTTGAGAAGAATGTGTAACCTGCTGTTTTTGGATGAAGTGTTCTATATATATCTATTAAGTCCATCTGGTCTAATTTTTCATTTAATTCTATTATTTCCTTGTTGATTTTCTGTCTGGATGTTCTGTCCATTGGTGTTAATGGTGTGTTGAGGTCCCCTACTATTATTGTATTGTTGTTGATGTCTTCTTCTAGTTCTATTAAGAGTTGCTTT